GGTTTAATCATTCTTTACATCGATTTTGTAAAAGTTGATGTTAACGATATAGGTCTATATGATGGCGGTTCATTTTTATCTTTATTTGGTTTAAGGAGCGTTATAATTATTGCTTCGCTCCAGCTTAAAGGGGTTGTTCCATCTTTCTACGATTTGTTAAAAATACTTAATACAGTTAATTTAGTTTCACCAGGGAAATTCTTTATGATATCATAATGTTTCTTGTCTTCCCCGGGAGTTCCAGATTTACCGTTTGAAGGGCCTTATTCATTTAAAAAAGAGTGAATTCTTTTTAATATTATATTATATTAATGTTATATTCTCAAATTCCGACTCCGCTTCTAACTTGGATATATTGCAGGGCGTGTGCCCTCTAATTTTTGCGATTTAATTTCTTGTGTTTTCGTATTGTTTTTACTTCATATATAGACTTCTTTTCACGCCTTTTCACCCCTTTCCCTTTTGAGGCCTCAAATAGTAAATGAAATGCCCTAGGTTAGAACTCAAACAGTTGTTTTCGTTTGAAACTAGAACTGCCACTGTCATGGCGTGAATACCCCCGCATACCACTTTGTCAGAATCAACAGTGGCCATTTAGAGCTCAAGGACAACCTCCCTGCCAAATCTGAGGTTACTTGAAGCCAGTGCATTGCTTAGTTATGTATTCTACATGCTTCAAATGTAAAATGTCAAAATCAATACACTTCGGACAGGACTTCTTAAGCATTTGAGCAGACAAACTTATCATAGTAAAAATCCCTGTGACCTTGACCTTTGACACAGTCAACTTAAAATCAATAGGGGCCATCTACTGGTCATAAACAACCTCAATACCAAATATGAAAACTGTGGGTCAAAGGTTTCTTAAGTTTTTGGATGGACAATTTTTTGAAGTCAAAGTCCCTGTGATCTTGACCTTTGACCTAGTGACCTCAAAATCAATAGGGGTCATCCTCTAATCATGACTAACCTCCATGCCAAATATGAAGACTGCGGATCAAAGGAATCATAAGTTATTGGGCGGACAAGCTTATTTTCAATTAAGGTTCCTGTGACCTTGACCTTTGACCCAGTGACCTAAAAATCAATAGAGGTCATCTACTAGTCATGACGAACCTCCATGCCAAATATGAAGACCGTGGGTCAAAGGAATCTTAAGTTATTGGGTGGACAAGCTTTTTTTAGTCAAGGCTCCTGTTTGGGACGTTATTTTACTGCAGAATTGTTCCCACTTTTGACGTTTAGCTTACTTAATAGTTTCATTTGCCGCAGATCTAGGACTTTTCCATAGTGCATATTTTATTGGTGTTGTTTTATTTTCAGCTTTATAGTTTTTTCTTTTTTGTGCTCTTAATTAAATAGCTTGTGGACATTCTTCATTCCAGCATAATTTAGGATTTTGTTTTTCATAGTTTGGGGTTAGATTTAGGCATTGTCTGCCCTAAAATTGAATTAAGTGTGTCTAAGAATGATTGAAATATATCATTTAAATAACCATCTTCTATAATCAATTCTTGTCGGCAGAAATGCCAAAAATTAGTCCATTGGTTTTCTGTAGCTTTTTCTGTAAGCCTTATTTCTAATATTTTAATATTATCTCTATTAATTTCAGTGTTTATTAAAGTGATTATAGGTAGGTGATCACTACCCATAGTATCATCTAAAACTAAAAATTCTGATAAAATAAATAAATTTGATGAAACTATGGAAAAATCGATCGCAGAGTCTATGTGGGAATCGCAGTTACTAACTCTCGTATTTGCCCATCATTTAAATAACAAAAATTATAGTCATTTAAATATTCTAGCAATGTCTCAGATTCGGCATCCTTCCTATCGTCATGTTCGGGATTCCAGCATGGATTTTTTAGACAAAACCAAGTTTATGATGGTGAAATTTTCATTTTGGCCTATTACAAAAAAAACAATGTACTTCTATAGCTACAAATTCTGTATCACTATCATAATTTATCATGTTTCTTTAATTTTAAGTTAATAAAAGTGAATAAAACAATGATTTTGATTGGCTAATAAAATGAAACATACGGATTTAGCAAAATCTTATAAGCGTCAGATGCCTGAAGTTATTTCTGTTTTAAACCATTGTTACTGATAAACAATTCAAAATATAAACACTTTGGATGGTTCTCCCGACTGATATCTTTTTTACTATAAAAATGATAGACACATGTGTCCTTTTAAAAGAATGCAATACTTTATCTTAATCGATTATGCTCTTCCCTATAAAAAACAAACCCCCAGCTAATGCGTTTTCAAAGTCCGTTATTCTATTTTAAGAAATCGACGAAAAACAAAAGTCTCGATCAATATGAGTCAGGTCATTATTTTCGCGAATGATCTTGAAAAATAAACACATATATTTATTCTCAGCAACCGTATGCGCTAATTCATTTCTTTCAACGTGGTGTTCCTTAAAATTTCCTCTTACCTGTGTTGTTAAGTTAGATTCCTACTACAATAGGTTATAAAATCATTACATAATGTTGTATAATATTACTCAAGAAAAGTATTCCTTAATACTTCTTGAGTAATATTATTCTATTTCTTGAATTGAATATTAAGGGTTTAAACTTTAACTTAGATTTAAGTTTATTTTTAAGTTTAATCACATTGAGCATGTATTGTTTTAAAGACATTTCATTCCTTTCATACACTAGTTCAATGATGATTATAGTTGTATTAAGTAACTTTGTAGAACTTGTCTTTTGACGTCTTATCTGTGATATGCAGGCTTCATAACCTCAGATCCCCTTTCAAAATTCCATTTTATTTAGTTCCGCCCATTGTTTTTTCGTTTGGGGCAAAAGCATTCTTTAACTTGGGGACCATACGTCGCTTGTAATGGAATGGCACTACTGTGTCACATTGAAGGTTCCATGATAACCGCCGTATGAACACATCTGCGGATGTTTCTAAATTCAAAATTTCACCATTTTCGTATAAAATGTTGAATTCTGCTTAAGCCGGTGCTAGGGGGCGTGGACGGTTACTTGCACTTTCCAGTACCGTCCATGAACAGGCTCAATCAAACCGAGCCTGCAACATTTTCACTTTTGTCGTGTTGGGCTTTCTTAAGGGATTCTGTATTTATCTTTTTTATTGATACACACTCTTGAACAGTAACACTTAGCATGCCCTTAGGCTCTTTATATACAATATATAAAGATTGGTTCTACTTTTACTCACACTGGCCTTTATACTGATTTAGCATTTACATGATTAATATATGTTTGTAAATTTGTTTATTTGATATTAGTTACTAGTTTTATTGATACAAATATTTTGCAAACAACATGTTAACTTGTCGAAGTATCATGATGACTTGTGCAAACGACATGTTAACTTGTCAAAATTTCATGAAGACATGTGCAAGCAGCATGTTAACTTGTCAAATGTCGGGATGACATGCTCATGATACTTTGAGAAGTTTACGTGTGTTTGGCACAAGTCATCACGATTCTTTGACAAGTTAACATGTTCTCTTCACAAGTCATCATGAAATTTTGACAAGTTACTTAGTAACATGGTATCTGCACAAGTCATAATGAAACTTTGACAAGTTAACTTGTTGTCTGCACAAGTCATAATGATACTTTGACAAGTAAACATGTTGTTTGCACATGTCATTATGATAATTCGACTAGTTAAAATGCTGTTTGCACATGTAATCACGAAAATTCGACAAGTTAACATGCCGTGTGCACATGTCGTCATGAAATTTTGACAAGTTAACATGTCATTTCGACAAGTTAACTTGTTCTTTGCACATGTCATCACGATAATTCGGCAAGTTAACATGCTGTTTGCACATGTCTTCACGATAATTCGACAAGATAACATGTTGTCTGCATAAGTCATCATGAAATTTTGACAAGTTAACATGTCGTTTTCACAAGTCATCATGATACTTTGACAAGTTAACATATTGTCTGCACAAGTCATAAAGATACTTTGACAGTACATGTTGTTTGCACAAGTCATCACTATACTTTGACAAGTTAACATGTTCTTTGCACATGTCATCACGATAATTCGGCAAGTTAACATGCTGTTTGCACATGTCATCACGATTATTCGACAAGTTAACATGTTGTCTGCATAAGTCATCATGATGCTTTGACAAGTTAGCATATTGTATGCACAAGTCATCTAGATACGTTGACAAGTTCACATCTTGTCTGCACAAATCATCATGATAATTTGACAAGTTAACATGCTTGTGCACATGTCATCATGATATTTCGACAAGTTAACATGTCTTTTGCACATGTCATCACAATACTTTGACAAGTTAACAAGTCGTTTGCACAAGTCATCATTATATTTTGACAAGTTAACATGTCGTTTGAACAAGTCATTATATATTTTGACAAGTTAATATGTTATTTGAACAAGTCAACATGATCCTTTGACAAGACATGATGTGAATTGTACGTGTAAACATACTAAAACGACACAATTATATCATCGTTTCAAAAGATAGCAAAAACATTGATCACATAAGTACGGAAGCTTGTATGTACCCCCGCTATGAAGACATGAAGTCGTCTCCCTCGACTTATAGAACACAACAAGTCTTCAAAATTACGACGACAAGTTTATTTTGACAAAATATATGTCATCATGTCGAGATACGGTATCCCGACTTTCATACGTTAATATATTTGTCAGTCACGGCGTTCCATTATCCTCGGTATTACATGCGATCTCGTTACGTATACACTTCATTCGCATGAATGTACTTCGACGATATCAGTTTACGTGGGTCTGAAGATTTAGTATAATCAATTGCTCTTAAAACAAATTATACAGTTTTTACAAGGATTAAAAATGATAATGAAAAAAAAACATCGGTATTTAAAGCAAGAAAACATAAGAGGGAAAAAGGAAATCCTAAAATTATATTGCCTTCATCATACCTTAAAATGTCAACATTTTTACCTTTATGAACATGTTAACTTAAAATGATCAGAATATTACCTGGGGTGTTTGCGGAATACTTGTTGATTGACCAGATTTAGCTAGTTCACGTGGTACGACTGATTTTCTGACAACCGGATCTTCCTTTTGATTGTGCGCACGAAATTTGCTCGCCAGTGAATCTTCCAGTTGATTTAATCCCTCATTTGATACTTATGAAAATTAAATAAAAATAATTCTGTGTAATCTATTCATACACACCAGCCAATTTCAAAGATTTGATGAATTCAAGAACCTCAAAATGCTAGCGAGTAAATTTAGGTCATTTAATTATAAATCATATAGAAAACATGTCTCGCCTGCACGACTTTAAATGTGTTTTATATGATATATTTTTAATATATGAACCTAATTTTACTCCTATATAATGAGAGAAAACATACTCACCACCTATTTGATTTTCCAATTCCATTGACGCTGTCTTAAAATAACTTTTCAGTTCTGAAAATGAACAAAAGTAATTTGTGCTGAGATTAATATAACTGAGGTAGCAATAAAAATAGCTGAAACATGATGTTAACAATGAATGGTTAGTTAAATGTATAAGTGCAACTTTCGGGAAACAATACATAAATGCGAATAAAAAATTGAATTACCTTACATGTTAAAACGATAATATTCTAAAGGAAAAATAAACTTACATCTGATTTTTTTATAATTATGGAGCATATTTACATCACTAAAGTTGTTAAGATTATACATTGACTATAAGTGGCTGCAGATGCTTCTATTAGCTTAAAGTACAATGCATACATATATTTTAAAAAAGATATAATATATTCTGATCAATCCATAATATAAAAGGGTACATATCTTAACATGGTTACCTTTGAGATCACAGTGTATTTCATTTAATTCGTGCCAAGTTGTTACATCCGAACGACTTATGCGCCTTTTCAGTGATTTAAACTTATCAATGATTTCCTGCACCTTCTCCTCCGACTCTGCTAGTTCTTGTAAATACTTTTCTGCTAAGCTGATATCTAATGGCCCGGTTAAAGATGAAGAAATATACATCTCACAGTCTTTCTGAACCGAACTACTACATTTTGATGCTAAGTGTTTCATAGTGTCTTGAATATCGCTTTGCAAAGTATCAAAATCTTTTTTGTTCAATGTTGTAGTTGCACGATGCGCTATTATATCGTTTCTGTATTTCTTCAGTTCTCTAATAAGTTTCTTCTCTTTACTGTCAGGTTCATTTAACACGTGCACTAAAACACAAAGTATCATTTGAATATCCCAAGTGTCAATATCAGTCTTGTCAAATCCATCATTTGGAAACAATCTTTCGACTTGCTTCTTGTGTAATTCATGCCTTAATTTCTTTTCTTTTCTTTTTAGCAGGTTATCAAGTTTTTCGTCACGGTTTTTAAGCTCCTGTTCCAGAAATCTCTTTGTGACGTACAAACATCCTCCGCAAAGAAGCAAAATTATCCTAAGGTAATACTCGTTTTCTTCCGTTAACATTTTTTCTGCAAAATAATAGACCATTTTATCAAAAATTTCTTGTATAACATTACTCGACTTTTTTGAAAGTTTGTTGCTAAAAAGAGATAATCTGAAGAAAAGGTACGTGCAATCTAGTATACTATTCTCATTTCCTGCAATGACATTTCAATGTGTGGCGGCGTGACCGAGTGGTTAACGTGCCGGACTGATAATCTAAAGTTTGCTGACCATGTGGGTTCAAACCCTGTCAGGGGCAAGTCGTTGTTTCTTTGAGCAAGTAACTTTACATTCATTGCTTAGTACTGGTTGGTTCCAGGAACGCATACGAAAGTGTTTCAGTAAGCTTATAGCTTCAAACAAAATCGAACAATAAACTAATAACATTTTACAAGGAAGTCACTGGAATCTACCTTTAAGTAAGGCGATGGACTTTTATCACATGAAGATGATTATCTTTCTGGGAGCAGTGATTGAAAACAAGAGAATCATGATGATCCTTAAACCGCTCATCTGATTATTGAGGCTCTGAATCAATATTGTAAGCAATGAATGAAAGGCAGATATATTGCCATAAACTTAAACTAAAATCATGAATTTCATATCCGCACCTTAAAAAGTGCAAATGTTGATAAGGTTTTCCATACATGCCTTTTTATGTGCTTTGACCTATTGTTTGACCCCAAATGACCCATAATCAAACTTGAGCTAGAAATCATACAAATAACCTATATGACTAATTTCCAGGATATGTTGGCTACAAATGCAACCTTTAAAGAACTTTTTTTTTCCATTTTTGGTCTGTGTGAACTTGATTTTGACCAAGGATGAACCATGTTCAAAGCTGGACTAGAAATCATCCAAACAATCTTTCTGACAAATTTTCAGGAAATTTGGCATGAAAATATTACATGTAGTATTTCTTGTTTTTCCATAATTTTGGTTATGTGACCTACGTTTCAACCCAAGATAACCTATATACAAACATGACATAATTAACACCTAAATAACATTTTTATGACAAATGTTAAGGCTATTTGGACCTCAACAGTAGCCTCTACAGTATTAAAAAGGTTCCCCCATACTGGAGCTAGAATCAGGACCAATATCAAAGATATTTGACCAAACAGTAGCCTCTAGATCGTTAACAAGGTTTTTTTCCATTTTATTATTTAGCATGTACGACCTACTTTTCACCCAAGTAGACACAAATTCGATCTTGCTTTTAGAAATCATTTTAACAACCATTCTGACCAATTTCCAGGACATTTGGACCAAAACAATATTCTCTACAGTGTCAGTACGTTTTCCTCCATATTTGGAATGCGCGACTTATTGTTCGACCCCAGACGACCCATATTCGAAAGGTCCGTACAAAGCATCTAAGAAACCTTTTTGACCAATTTGCAGTATATTCGGACTGAAACAGAAGACCCTAGAGTGTTAACAAGGTTTTCTATATTTGAACTACATCCTTAAAATAATCCTAAGGGCCCTGCAATAAAAGCATTCTATCTTCGTCCTTCATAGCAACCTGTCAGTGCCCAGACCTGAGATCTTACTTAGAAAAATATTTCTATCTTGCAAGTGAGTCGATGGTTTAGTAAATCCGAGAAAAAAAATAGGCACCCTTAACAGTACAACTGTTTAATTTTCGAAAGTCTATGCAAAAATATAATGAACCATTTTTTGCGTCTTAAAAACAACATTTGAACAGAAAGGTCTATGAGATTCACGAATAGTTTCAGCTCCGACTATGCTCTTTAGTGTTCTCGTACTTCTTCAAACATACCTTCTATATACCATATATATGTTGTCAGTGGGGGCATCCGTGTTCTTTGGACACATTTCTAGTTTAAAAGGAGTCCCGTCAGTTTAAAAATATTAAACAAGAGGGCCATGATGGCCCTGAAGTCGCTCACCTGTATATAGGCCCCCGTAGCGGAGCCAGTGTAAACCCCAGGGCTTTTATTTGAACAAACTTGGTAGACACCCATTAGAAGATGTTTCATGCTAAACATCTAAGGTCTAGCTGGTCAAGGTTTTTCTTTACACATATACATGTAGTTAAAAACAATGACACACCTGGGGCAGGGCCAGTTTGAACCCAAAATGGCTTTTATTTGAACAATCGTTGTAGACACTTACTAGAGAATTTTTCATGCTTAATATCTGAACTCTAGTTATTCGGATTTTTTGAAGAAGATTTTTAAGTTTTTGCTATACACATATAAGGAAAATCAATGACCCCCAGGGTGGGGCCAATTTTGACTTACTAGAAGATGTTTCATGCTTAATATCTAAACTCTAGCTATTTGGGTTTTTTGAAAGAAGATTTTTAAGTTTTTGCTATACACATATAAGGAAAATCAATGTCCCCTGGGGCGGGGCCAATTTTGACCCCGGGGCTTTTATTTGAACAAACTTTGTAGACACTTACTAGAAGATGCTTCGTGCTTAATATCTAAACTCTAGCTATTTGAGTTTTTTCAAAAAAGATTTTTAAGTTTTTGTAATACACATATAAGTAAAATGAATGACCCCCGGGGCGGGGCCAATTTTGACCCCAAGGCTTTTATTTGAACAAACTTGGTAGACACTCACTAGAAGATGTTTCATGCTTAGTATCTAAACTCTAACTATTTGGGTTTTTTCAAAGAAGATTTTTTAAGTTTTTGCTATACACACATATAAAGAAAATCAATGACCACCAGGGCGGGGCCAATTTTGACCCCAGGGCTCTTATTTGAACAAACTTGGTAGACATCCATTAGAACATGTTTCATGCTAAATATCTTAGCTTAATGGGTTCTTTAAGAGAAGATTTTTTAAGTTATTACTATATTCATATAGGGAAAATCAATGACCCCCAGGGCGGGGCCAATTATGACCTCAGGGCTTTTATTTGAACAAACTTGGTAGACACCCATTAGAAGATGTTTCATGCTAAATTTCTTAGCTCTAGCTCTTTGGGTTCTTTAAAAGAAGATTTTTTAAGTTTTTACTATATGCATATAGGGAAAATCAATGACCCCCTAGGGTGGGGCCAATTTTGACCCCAGGGCTTTTATTTGAACAAACTTGGTAGACACTCACTAGAAGATGTTTCGTGCCAAATACCTAAGCTCTAGCTCTTTGGCTTATTTAGAAGAAGATATTTAAAGTTTTTTTTTGCTTTTGGTTGCCATGGCAACCAGAGTTCTACATGGAATTAAATTCTTTGAACAATTTTCAAAGGTGACCACCATAGGAACATTCCTGTGAAGTTTGGATGAAATTGGCTTAGTGGTTAATGAGGAGATGTCATTTAAAGTAAAAGTTTACGGACGACGGACGGACGACGGACGGACGGACGCCGGACGAAAAGCGCTCACAAAAGCTAACAATGTCACTTTGTGACAGGTGAGCTAAAAACAAAACAAGATCATTAAGGAATTGCAGCGTTCAATAAACGCAACCCCCACACGACCAAGCACCACACTGGCAGGCCCAGCAGAAAGACATTACACAGGCAAATCACGAGACCAATTTCAAGAACATTCGGATCAAAACAGTAGCCACTAGTGTGTTAACAAGATTTTTCTATTTCTAACTCCTGTGACCTAGTTTTCCATCCGATATCATCAATGTACGAACTTATCTGAGCAATTACCTAGACAAGAATCCTGACCAAGTTTGATGATGATCAAGTCGAAAATGTGATCACTAGAGTGTGTGTTATCAATGGTTTTTTTCCATATTTGACCAGTGTGACCTTGTTTTTGACCCCAGGTAATCCATATTCAAACTTGACCTAAAAATCATCAAAACAAATTTTCAGACTCATTTCAAAGACATTTGGATCAAAACAGTAGCAACTAGAGAGTTTACATTTTTTTCTTCTGTTTTTAACTTCTGTGATCTAGTTTTTCATCTGAGATGGCCCATGTTAATTCATGCTAGTCAAGCATCCTGACCAGGTTTGATTATAATTAAGTAAAAAATATGACAACTAGAGTGTTAGCAAGGTTTTTCAATATTTGGACGGTGGGACCTAGTTTTTGACCCCATGTGACCCATATCTGAACTTGACCTAGAAATCATCAAAACTAACTTTCAGACCAATTTCAAGGACATTTGGATCAAAACAGTAGCCACTAGTAAGTTAACAAGATTTTTCTATTTTTAGCTCCTGTGACCTAGTTTTTCATCCGAAATGATCAATGTACGAACTTATGCGAGCAACTACCTATACAAGAATCCTGACCCAGTTTGGTGATTATTGAGTCAAAAATGTGATCGCTAGAGTGTCAACAAGGTTTTTCCATATTTGACCAGTGTGACCTAGTTTTTAACCCCATGTGACTCATATTCGAATTTGACCTAGAAATCATCAAAACAAACTTTCAGACCAATTTTCAACATATTTAGATCAAAACGGTAGCCACTAGAGTGTTAACAAGATTTTGTAGTTTTTAGCTGCTGTAACCTAGTTGTTCATTCGAGATGATCCCTGTTAAACATACAAGTCAAGCATCCTTACCAAGTTTGATGACAATTGAGTCAAAACTGTTAACACTAGAGTGTTAACAAGGTTATTCCATATTTGGGCGGTGTGACTTAGTTTTTGGTCCCAGGTGACCCATATTCAAACTTTTAGACCGATTTCCAGGATATTTGAATAAAAACAGTAGCCAATTCAGTGTTGACAAGATTTTTCTATAGCTTTTGTGACCTAGTTTTTCATCCAAAATAACCAATGTTCGAACTTATCTGACAATTACCTAGACAAGCAACCTGACAAAGAAAGTTTGATAATGAATGAGGCAAAAATATGACCACAAGAGTGTTAAGGAACAAATGTGGACTGACGATGGACATTGTCCTAAAAGTTCACCCTGAGCAAACTCAGGTGAGCTAAAAGAAAAAGATGAAAACTAGGGACAAAAGGGGAGATACTTACCATAATTGAGAAAATACAAGAAGGGACACAAAAGTGTCACTATAATAGTATGAAACTACAAACAAGATAAACATCTGATGAACA